CGAGGCGCCCATTCCCTTCCCTGTTTACCCTGGGCTGGTAGGAGCGCGCCATTCTGGAGCTGCGCCCAACAGCTTCTCCTCCTGGGGTGGCCATGCCTACCAAGGACTCTGTGAGGCCTGGAGCCCAGGCTTCAAATCCCTCCTCCTTCACAGGGACGACCGCCCAGCCCCCGGCCATCAGGTGTCTCTGAGGGAGCATGTGCCTCGTTGCCATAGTATCTGCCAGTGCCCAGGCCCATTGGCTTGGGCAGGAACCAATCAGCAGCCCTGCAGACTCCGTGCTGTGGCAGGATGGTCCCAGGGCTGCCAGCCGCTCTTGGAAGATGAGGGCGGTCCCTGGCCTGTGGTGGGACTGGCCTCAATCGGCTTCCTCTCCATGGCATCTCAGGGCTTCTTCCCCTGAATCCTGCTCGCACCCTGCCCCACTCTGTTTTCTCGCCCTAATTTCCCCCGATTCAGAGTTGAACAGACTGGTGGACTTCCCTGTGAAGTGATAGCTTCCATGGGGAGGGCAGAGGACAAAGCTTTGTTGCCATTTTACAGCCGTTTCCCCCAAGAAAAAGCCCTGGAGCAGCTTCTTGATCTCTCCAGAAGTGGTGGCTCCTAGGCCCAGGAAGATGTCGTTTGAGCTGTGTTTAAGTACAGGGCCCTTCCGGCGTATGAGATCCCTTGATAATTGACACAGGGTTGCCAGATGTAAGGAAATGGGTGGGCAGTTTGTTTCCATCCTATATATAAAAGAAAGGATTAAACCAGTTGGGAGGACATAAAGGTTGACTCTAATGTTCAAAGAATCCTGCACCTCCACCAGCTCCAAGACACTGGGCAAGTTACCTTCCCTCTCTGAACCCCAGTTGCCTCATTTGTAAGGCTGTTATAACAAAAAAAATCTATCTCTTAGGTTTTATAAATGAAATAATACAGGCAAAGCGTTTAGCCAGGTGCCAGGTGGTAAGTGCTCACTGGGGCCAGTCAGCTGTTTTTAGAAATGGTACAGTGTACTGCTGAGAACTATAGGGTTCACAGTCAACATTTGGCAATATTTTCATGTTAATCTAATTTTGCTTACTCATTTAGTTATTCATTCATTTAACCCATTAATACATTCAGCATATATTCACTGGGCATCTACTACCAATCACTTCTTGCCGTAGCTCATGCTCATCCAGCTGTATTTCGTGGGGTCCAGCTCCCAGAGAATCCCTATGCAGCTCCCTTCATAAGAACTGATGGAGTCGAGGCTGGCAGGACGGTTGCTGGGAGATCTTGTCCCTGTGGCAGCTGGGGGTTTGGAAATTGTTTTCTGCAGCTTGGCCTCCTCAGGCTAAGATGCCTGAACAGAGCAGAGCCTTCTGGTGTTCGAGCAGCACTGAGTCAGGACAGCTTTCCACGGCCACCTCTGTTTCCCACCCCTCACCCTTGGGGAGATATACCCCTCTTCTCTTGAAGGCTCCAGCCAACAAGCTGGAACCTGCTTTCTCTGTAGTTGGACTGTATCGTCTAGCACTGGCCTCTGTAGCTGGTTCACTGTGCTTTCTGGACTAGAGTTTCTGGAACAATCCTACTGTGCTTTTGATACCCCCATAATCTCTGCTCTCCATTCCTGTAGTGCTGTTCCCTTCCTGCCCTCATTGTGCATCTCAGTGCCTGTCTCCAGTGGGGCTGGAGTGGCCACCCCATTACTCGCATTTGTTTTGGGATCATCCAACTTCTCTGGACCCCTTATCTTTGTACTCTCCCCTCCCCCCACCCCCACTTCATGCCCTGCACCTGAGCTGTGTGGCACAGACCTTACTGGGCAGGTACTCTGCTAGATGTCTGAGGGCCAGAGGTGCCTAACACATGGACAGTTCATGAATAGACATCTCATATGTGATCAAGGCCATGATGCATAATGCTGTAGGAGTAGCCAGGGAGTAGCAACTGCCTCTGCCTGGAGAAGTCAGGGCTGGCTTTACCGGAAGGTGCTATCTGAGTAATCTTGAAGAATTTAGCTAGGTAGACAGTGGGAGAAAGGGAATTCCAGTCAAAGAGAATAGCATGCATAAAGGCCTGAAATCACATGATGTTCTTAGAGAGAATGTAATGTGGTGTGAATGGAAGGAACAAGGGGACTATATTATTTGGGGTTGAGGGTCCATGAGTAGCTAGGGAGGAAATGAAGCCAGAGAGGTAACCAGGGGCCTACTCATAAGGGCCTTGTGAGCCATACAATGTAATTTAGACTTTGCCCTCCCAACGCTGGCAGCCTGGGAAGGGTTTTATACGGGGGCATGACGTGGTCAGATTGTGTTTAAGAAAGGGGAGATGCGTGGCTGTGAGGAGATGGGCTTTCTCATTTGTCCTCTAGCAAATCTGTAAGGCAGATGGGATGGATACTGTTACCTACTTTTTAGACCTGAGAACTCTGTTGCCCAAGAGGTTAAATACCTTGCCAAAGGTCTCAGAGCCAGAAAGCAGAGGACCTGCGACTCACCTGGCTTCTTGGCTCTGAATCTCTTTCTCCCAGGCACACTGCCATTGTTTACAGAGTCTTCTAGAAAGCTGTCTGAAGCTGGGTAGTGGGTTGATGCTGACAGGAGCAATATGAAGGAAATGGTCATTGATAGAATCTTGTTGAAAGACTGTAGAATTGGGATTTTGTGGCCTGTGGTGTTCGGTCTCCTGAGCGCTATGCCAATGCACAGACAGCAAGAAGCAGTGGGGAGCTTTGAGCTTCAAGCTCTGTAATGCCTTGACAAAATCCATCCATCACTGTCTTCCTCATTAATTCAGAGCAGCATCTGCTGCCTGGTACTGGCATTTGTCAGTGGCTTGTTGCTGTAAGCTCCTGGTCCTCAAGGTTGGTCAGCTCTGCAGGCCACAGCCCCAGGGTGAGCCCTGGCAGTCAGAGGCAGGTCCTTTTTCTGTCTGCATTTTGTAAAATGAAAGAACTTTATTTTTGAAAAACAAAGGTAACATGATCTAGCAGAACAGAACATGAGTTTGGTGATCAGGCAGACCTGGGTTTTCATTGTGCTGCTGCCACGTAGCTATCTGTGAAAGTTATTCAACTTGTATGAGCCTCGGTTTCCTTATCTCTACAATCAGCAAAGGCAAACCTACCTGAAAAAATTATTGTGATGACTAGAATGTGAGAATGTCTAAAGTGGCTTGGCATGGCGCCTGGCACCTATGAGTCCTCAGTGCATGGTGGCTTTAATTCCTGTTCCTATTAATGCCACGACCACCACTACTGCTGCCACCATGGTTAAAGAATATTTGAAAAATAGAGAATAGAAGAAAAAATATCTTATGCTGTATGTATGGCCCTGGGTGAGGCATGGTGGGACTCAGATAAATCAGATACAGAGCCTGCCTCAAAGGAGCTCAGAGACTAGACAACCTAGAAATACTTACTGGGTTAGAATATGCAGGTGCTTCTTTGCCAGACACTGTCAGGTGGTCTACCGAAGTGTAGGTGGTCTTCCCTGTGGAGTCTGGGACCTGGGAAACACCACTTTTACAAAGGAAAAATCCTCGGAAGCCTTGCTGCCCCTTCTCACCTGCATGTGTGTTAAACTGGCCTCCAGTGCTCAAATGCCTTCTGAGCCTGTTACCTCGACTGTCAGGGGCCTGTGCTGATCACCTTTGAATATCACTTCTGGGAAAGAGTGAGGCGCTGTAGCATCAAGGAAGGAGTTGTGTGAGAATGAGAGTGCCTCTAATCTTAGTTTTGACACACCAAGGCAAATTACTTCCTCTTCCCAAGCCTCAGTTTTTCTCCTCGTGATGTGCAAAGATTGGACCAGGTGATCTTCAGGGCCTCTCAGCACTGACATTCCAGGAGTACCTGAAGTCTTCCTCTTCCAGGAGCTGAAGTGAGCATCCTGTTAAGGGTCACAGGATGCTTCTCCTCAGTCTAGAGGCCCTTTTAATTAGTGCCTGGGGAACCGTTTACACTTTCATGTTCCCAGTCACTTCCTCTTGGTAGCAGCTGGGACGTGCCGAGACTGAAAGGCAAGAAGTGTCTCTGACTGGGTGGAAACACTGGGTTCAGAGCCCCAAATGGTTGTCTTCTATGTATTAGGTCTTCATTCTTCTATGTACTTTGTTCTTTCATTCTCTCTTTCATTTAGCAGATGTTAACTGAGTCCTAGGCCTTGTACAATCCATCTGTGCAATCCAGAGATGAACAAGACTCAGCCCTGTTCTCAAGACACGTGCAGTCTAGTGGGAAGACAGAAAAATGTAAAAGGCAACATGATAGTTGCTGTATTGGGGGTGTGTGTAAATTGTGTAGGGAAAGGAGTGCTTGAGTCTGCCTAGAAGCAAGAGCAAAGCAATATCAGGGGACACTTTGAGATTTTAAGGATGAGTACAAGTTTTCTAGGTAGGCAGTCAAGGAGAGGGCATTCTAGCAGAGGAACAGCCTGTGCAAATGCCCAGAGGTGTGAGAGAATGTGTCGTGTTCAGAGAACTGCAGATAGTTTGTGTGGCTGGAAGGTGAAAGGGAGAGTGAGCAGATGCAGAAAAGTCAAGCATTTCTCCTCAGACAAGTCTGTTTCCATTGAATTATTTGTTCAGTTTATCAGTCCGGATGAGAGTGATGGTCTTCTTAGTTCAGTTTTCAAAAACTATCTTTTGTGTTGCATTATATTTCCATAGATTTCCATTATAGTTTTTTATGATAGCACATGCTCATTATAGAAAGTTTGAAAAATAGAAAAAAGAAGAAGGAAGCAAAGATTTTTAAAAATCACTGATGGTCTCACTTCCTAAAGACAAATACTTTAACATCTTGATGTGTTTCTACTGAGTGTTTTCTTCACTCTTTATGTAGTTGTGAGTGTAATGTAATTGTAGTCTTAACTTTTGTATATGGTGCCCTCTTCTTCTTCCTCAAATTTGCTAAAAATGGATGTTAGTGTCATTGAAAAACAACTATGACCATAAAATATACTGGCTTAAATATCTATACATTTTCCTTCTCAAATATAACTTTTTTTTTCTTTTTGCAGGTCTCTTGTGGCTCAGAGCATAATCTGGCAGTGATTGGTAAGTAATTAGTGTCCTGATAACCTTGTTTGTTCTGAAACTCATGTGGCAGAATTGGAGAAGACTCTTGGTTAACCAAAGGCCAGGGTGCGTGTGTGTGTGTTGGGGGAGATTCTGGGAAATGGAAGTTCTTGGCTGGCCAAGGCTTTACTAGAAGTCCGCTTTCCAAAAATGCCAGTCCACATCATGGAGCATCTTTGTAAGGTGCCTGAACTGGCCTTCCTGCCTCAAGAAGTGGCATTTGAGGATATTAAAGATCTTACAGGCTGGGAGCATCACGTGTAGGAAGCCAGACATAAAAGGGGAAGAGGGTGGGTCTGCTCCTAGTCCTTTGAATAAATCCCTTACGCCAAGTTCTTTGCTCTTGGTTGGCTCTTTCTTTGGAAATATGGGGCTCTGCTCACTGCCTTGTATTTCATGGTACTCAGGAACTCCCAGTTGAAGCCAAGCCTTTGATTAATTGAGGTTACCTGTTAGTTGACTCTGGATAACCAAGGTTCACTGTCTTTATAATCAGGCCTATGAGTACTTGCTTCGAGAAACCTTCTCATTACTTCCACAGGTAGACTCGTCTCCATCTCACAGTCCATTGAAGAGACAACAAGTAGGACCTGACAACCTGAGTTTAGTACAGGCTTCCACTTCCCAGCTGTGTGCACTTGGACACGGTGCTTAGCCCCTTGGTGCCTCGTTTCCTCATCTGTAAAATGGGGAGGGCAGTAGCGCCCACCTCCCAGGCTTGGTGTGAGGCTTAGAGGCGTTAGTGCACGTGGAGCACCGAGAACAGTACTTAGCTCCTAGTAAGAGGTTTAGAGGCGTTAGTTTTTATTATCTGATATCATTAGTTCAAATAATTGCCCTCCTCTGGTGTTAAAACAGAAAACCGGGGTTCCCTCCCACTCTGATATGTTAGGACTCTGTTACGAGCCCATTTCTACCTGTCAGGTGTCGGTGATTTCTCTTCCTGCTGCTTCTCTCCCAGCCTCTCACTCTCAGTTTCTGAAGGGCAAGGGCTCTATGTATTCCTTTTGTTTCCTGCCTGTTTGCAGCACCCAGAGCTGCCTGGCACTCAGTAGAGACTCAAGCATGGTTTTCTGAATTGAGCTAGACTGGCTGTCCTGCCTGGGGTGGCAGCAGTTTGAAGCACCACTTTGCAGGCCCGAATGTGATATGCAAGGAGGCAGAACCAAGGACAGCAGAGGAGGTAGGCTGCCAGCCAGCAGAGGGGGTGGGGAGGAAAAGGGGCCGGAGTCAGAGAAGGAGGGAGAAAATGTAACAGCAAAGCTGCATGCTTTGCAACAGTTCTAGATACTTTATACCGGAACTGCTCAAGCCTGGGTGTAATTAAGACAAGCTAATCAAAGAATCAGAGGTGGTGCCTAGGATGTTGCTGCTGTTGCTGTCACTGGGCTGGGAGAGAGCTTGGCTCCCTCTGAGATCAGCACAAACCAAAAGATTGCAGGAATCTAAATACATGAAAGAACAAAATCCAGATGAAGGAGGGGGCCAGAGCTAGCAGGCTGGCAGGCTGAGCTAACAGAGGCAGCCTAGGGCTGTAGAAAGAGAGACTGCAGGCAGATGGCCTTGGTTCAAACTGGCTCCATCTCTGTGTGAGCTTCCATTCTTGCCCTTGTCTTTGTAGTGGGGATAATTCCACCTTGCAGGATTATTATTGTGAGGATTATGAGATTGTGAGATAATGTATGTGAAATACGTGGGATACAGGAGTGTGTGGAAAAAAAATATATATATATATATATATATATATGTATATTTATAATTCTGTTTGTTTCTCGTTTCTCTTGGTCAGGGTGGGGAGGGAGAGAATCACTTGTCAGGGTAACTGTTCTAGCAAAGTAATTATTAGTTGGGAGAGGAAATGATAATGTTCTGGAAAGGTGTGTCCAGTGTCACCCAGTGAGGAGAACATCAGAAGCAGTGGGAGAGCAGGGCATGCTGGTCAACTCCTTGAGGGCAGGCCTGTCATTTCCCATTTTGTCCGTAGTGCCTGGGCCCTGGCTCACAGTCTGCTGAATGAATGGTTCCAGAGTCAGGAGTGGTGGGCCCCGTCAGAGGGCTCTGGACATGTCTGCCTGCCTGCGTGTGAGCTGGGAGCAGAGGCTCCCACTCCTGGAGAAGGGGGCCCTCAGTGGGTGCCCTGCAGGGTGCAAGCTGTGCAACAGGAAGCAACAAGAAGCCTCCTGTTAGCTCTGGCAGGAGGCCAGCAGGAGGGAGACAAGCTGGAGGAGGAGAGTTCCAACCAGCTTAACGCCTGCTTCCCACAGCCAGTTCCTCCCGCAACCCTTCCCCATTGCCCACTTTCAGTGGGGTTCCCTGCCTTCACTCTCCTTGCCCAAGAACCAGCCCCTCAGTGCCTGGTGCTGGGTCCCACACATGATAGGCATGAAATAGTTATAAAATACACTAGAATAGAATATAAAGAAGCCAAACTTTGCTCAAGAGTAGAAGCAGCCTTAATGTGTAATGAATGTGCAACAGACAAATCATACTGGAAGGGTAGGTGGAAAAGAGATGGGTGGAAGGACATCATTCAGGACCTGCTCTGTCTTAGGATGGACACAGCTCCACAAAGTATATTTGTACCCACTTTATAGAGAAGACGACTGAGACTCCGAGGTTAAACAGGTTGCTCAGGGATACGTAGCAGTAAATGGTAGAGCTGTCTGCCTGACATCCAAGACTGCTCCTTCGACCCTCTCATATCCTAGGGGCCCAAGGCAGGATGGGTAGTGGTTAACAAGAGCACAGGCCCTGGGGTCAGATGGCCCGGATTCAAGTCCTGGTTTCTCCACGTAGCAGCTGTATAACCTTCTATAAGTGGCAAACCTTTCTGTATCTTGATCGCCTCATCTGGAATGTCATATTATTGACTTCATAGGGTTGTTATATAAAGTCCTAACAGTGCCTGGCACAGAAGAAAAGGTTCAATAAGTGTTAGCTGGTATTATTATTATGTATAAAAAGATTCAAGGAAGGAAAGAATTGTTAGGTAACTGTAAGAAGTCCTGAGGCTCAGAGTGAGAATCTCAGAAGCTGAGAAGGAAGTCTTCCCCACCCAAGATGTCAGGGTCCAGGGCAGGATGTCAGCATAGATGCAGAATGGACTTGTAAACTGATGCCTGGGGACCCCACTCTGGGGGATGTGCTAGCCCAGGATTTGTTCCAGATCAGGATTCTGCTATCCACTGTCCCAGACAGGGACTCAGGACCTGGTGTTCCAGCCTGAGGCCAGCTCCACGGCAGCCACATTTTAGGTTTCTTAGGGGATCAACATAATTCTACTCTGCTACTTCATTTGCTTCCAGGTTTCTTTTTCCCCCCTTCTTTTGCAGTTTGGTTTGGTTCTTAGTTTTCCAGTGATGTTTCTCTTGACATGTTCTTTGTCTGCTGCCAGGCATCGCCATGGCTAGACATGATGGTGAGGTGCTGCGATGTCCTGCTCTAGACAAAGAAAGAACTGCTGGAGCTGGGGATAGAGAAATTCAAGTGACAATCAGGAAGGAGAGAGCTGAGGCCATTGGCCATGGATGGCCTGGCTACTCCCTAGCTGTGAGCCTTGTACAGTCACCCTGCCTCACTGAGCTTGATTCTTCATCTGTAAAGCCAACCCACTCCTAAAGTTGTTCTTCCTAATGGCATAGGTGTGTTGGCTGCCTGCCACGTAATAGGTGCTCAGCAGGTGCTTGCTCACTTGGCAGCTTCTCTAGTTCTCATCCTTTGTTTCTTTCTTCCTTTCCACTCAGGATTTCCCTCCTCATCTGACAAAGCTGGCTGGCTGGCCGGCTGGCTGGCTCCCATTTGTGAGTGTAGACTGAGGTCAGTAGAGGTGAGATGAGAGCATGTGGCCATCGCTTGCTCAGAAGGTCCCTGCCTGCCAGAGGCAGGCTCCCCCGGCCCGGCTCTGTCTTTGGGGCCCTCACCTCCATGTCTGGCTGAATTGGCTCCAGCTGTTTTGCTTCCCCCAGGAGCAGCTTATTTTGGCTTGAATGGGTAATTTGTTTGCCTTCTCTCCTGATGTGCAGTTGTTAGCCTTCCCTTCCTGCTGAGGAAAAAGAGCTGACTGCATTTCCTCTCTCCCCGCTCCACACAGACCCTTGGAAAAGATTTTATTGGTGGTCTTTTCCTGGAGCCCTCAGGCTCACCAGACAGGCATTGTGAAAGGGTTAGATGTTTGGCAGGAAACCGTGGTGCCTCCTCTTCCTCCTCCAAGCACAGCCAGCTCTTTTACCAAATTGGGACTATAATCTATGTAAGAGTTTTTTTTCATTTCACTGATGATTTCCAATTGTTGAACCTTCGTACCTTTGTAATGTGTGTGGCAGATCATCTGACTTTGGCCTGAAACCCATCAAACAGGGTCATGTAAGAATGTAATAGAGAGAATAACTCTTTTTTGGCACTGGCTCTTCCTCTGAGAGGCAATGTCTCCACACCCCAGGGCCTCGTGGAGAGCTTAGAGGCAAGTACAAGCTCGTGTGGCCCTCTGCACAGTGTGAAAGGCAAAGCAGCAAGCGATGAGTTGGCACTGTTGTTAACCCCATTTTCTAGATGAGGGAAGCCAAGGCTTAGGCTGAGCAGTTTGCCCCACTCTGGTCAGAGTCAGGAGGAATCTGTGTGTCAGATCTTTAACCCAGGCCTCTATCATTAGAGCCTGTGGTCTACGACCTGATGCTGCCTTATTGCACACTGGTCACAGTCTGGCCTGTTTTTTTTATTGGTGAGAGAAATTGTCCCTGAGCAAACATCTGTGCCAGTCTTCCTCTATTTTGTATGTGGGACACTGCCACAGCATGGCTGATGAGCAGTGTGTAGGTCCATGCTCAGTATGGGGATCCAAACCCACAAACCCCGGGCCACCAAAGTAGAACGCCCGAACTTAACCACTACACCACCGGGCGAGCCCCTGGCCTGTTTTAAAGACCACCAGATAAGATTATTTCATCTCTTCATTCCAATATTTAGTACCCCTTCATATTGGC